CAAGTCATAATTGATTACAAAAATTACTCACACATGCTCCTCCCCATGATGGGTGGAAGGTCCGAGTGTGCGGCATTGATTACTTCCTTAAGGAAGTATATATCACCCCTCCCCCCTGCCTAAGTTAGCCTATTCTACATCATCCGACAGTTGAACTCGCAAATCCTGCACATTCTTTCCTCTCGGACCTTTCCGTAAGAGCCTGCCATGTCGTACATGAGTTTCTAGAATGACTGGTATTGTCTCCCCTATTTTCTATGTCCTTTCCTCTCAAATTACCCATGGTAACCTGTCATATAACTCATGACTATCATGAAACTACCTTAGCACCCTCTTTTTATTGGAATGTGGTCCCTATTGTTCCCCTATGCCATAATCACATTTGTATTCCTTTTACTTTTGCAAGACGAAGCTTGAATTTCCGGCAATGATTTCCGAATGTTGTCTCCTTAAACCCTAAACCCTACTTCCTTAAACCTTTAAACCTACCTGTATTCCTCTAGAGGTTTGATTACTTTGCAGACTTCATGAATTTGTAGTATCCTTACCCGACATCTTCCTTTTCTTCTCATTGCCAATAGTTTGCCACGATCCTTTGTTGTGAACCCTTTGTCTTCCTCTCAATCCCATTCGTTTCCAAAGTTGCCTTGCTTCTTGCTCTGATCAGGCGTTTGCGATTCTATCTTAACCTGTGATCCTTTGCTTGCACTTTTCTCTTGACTTTCGCCTTTCTAAGTTTTGACTTCCCGTGTTCATGGTGAAGCTAGTTGTTATGTCTACCCCTGGTGTCCGTTTGCCATGTCTTGTTGGTCTTCTCTGAACCAACAGAAGATCAGCCTGTGCCCCTCCATTGTGGCTATTTTACCTCCAACTTTGGCCCTTTCCGTTTGGGCCGAAAACCATTTTCCATTGAGAAAACTACCCTACAGAGGGTAGGGTACATTTCTCAACTTATTTGCCTTTTTTTTTTTTTTTTTTAAAGACATCATCACACCCTGAAACGGAGGAGCTCTGACAGCTGTGTTTGGCTCTGACAGCTGTGCTTGGCTCTCTCGCATCAAACTCTCTTCTTCTTTAGGCAATGAACGCATCTGGCCATCCATGTTGTCCCTGTCCATTTTACGAATGGTGACCTCCTGTCCCCTCACCAGGGGAAGTATCCCTTTTCCACAGGGACATTCACTCCGACTGTGCCAGACGTGTTTCATTTCTCCGAGTTACTTTATAAAAAATAAGGAGAAAAGTTGTTTCTAGCGATTTTTTTCAGTTTTTTAATTTCTTGTTTCGAATTTATTAATGTCAAAATGGTGTCACATGTTACGTTTTCTAAACTTAAACTTGGGCGGTGGGACTTCACCCCAGGCTCAGCAAAACCCGGTGCGCAGTAAAATCAGGGATGGCAAAAACAGGCTCTACGGTAGTGGTGATTTTAGTGACAGGTTTAGACCACCACTACATGGCCCCAACCAAGTTTAGCATCGCGATTGAGCCTCCCATAACATTACAGAGGCTCGGGATAGGGTCTCCAAAGGGCGGGTAGAAAAAAAAAAAAAAACCTTAAAAAAGTCGCATGCCTTGGGGTGGCACCAGTCGCGGCACTGAGCAAAAGGCAATTCCGGTGTCCTCCTAGGCGGGCCGTGTCCCGAGTCCCCAAACTTTTTGGAGAGGCCTATTCGTGATTCTGTTTTTTTTTTTTTTTTTTTTTTTCATTCTCAACATGCGGTAGTGGTTTAAGAAAGGTTGTAGTGGGTTCTTGATATGTCAAACCACAAGTACTTCCTAAAGTAGTGCCCGTTAACGCGCCACAAATTTAGAAAACGTACGGGCCACTACAGCCGCGCCCAAATTCATCCAACTAGAAATGTTTCTACTCCATTTTTTTTCCGCGGCCGAAAGCTGGCCCAAGTACTCAGTCTGGTGGTTTAACTTAGTAGTTGTATGGCTAGTATTTTAATTGATATCTGAGTCTGTTTCTCTTATGCATTGTGTGTTTGTGTGTGTGTGTGTGTGTGTGTGTGTGTGTGTGTGTCGCATGTGTGAGTCACATGAGTTATGCACAAGCACGACATGTCATACCCGTGCTGCTCCGATCATACGTGTCGGCACACAGTGGGTAAGGTGCAAGGCGCGAAGGCGATTATCAAACGCGGCGGGGTAGAACCTCGTCGTACGCCCATTTGCGGTGAGGGTGAGAAGGGTCGTTTTGCCGCATGAATATAAGTATACGAAACCCAATGGGACGGGGGAGATAGAGTGGCGGAAGCCCATTTCCTAGGCAAACTGATACAACAACATCCATACAACGCAATGCAATAAAATAAAACAAAGTCGAGCTTTTATTCATCATAGTCGTGAAAAGCACTTTGAACCGAAAGAAGACTCCGATCGAAATTCCGACAGCGAAAACAGCCATTCACAGAAGAAGCCAACCCCCAGAGTTGCAAGATGCAGTAAATGGAGAGAAGATTCTGACCCAGATTCTGACCGAGCAGACCACCATCCACGGAGGAAGAAGAGAAGAAAAAAAAGGAAGAAACGAGGAGGGGGCGAGGTTGCAAAACGAAAATATTCCATAGGACGAAGCAGGTGAAGGTGAAGAAGGAACCAAGTAGACCTAACCATCGCTTGAAAAAAAGGACGAGAAATCTTTTTCTGAAAAAAAAGCAATTATAGCTCCAGAAAAATATTACGACAAACCTCGTTCACCACGTTGCCAATATCCGCACATGCAACTGCTCAATCAAGAGACGAAAACGACGAAAAAAAGGACGATGAAGGGGGAAGGGGAAGGAAGGGAGAAGAAGAAGATCCTGCTTCAGCTCTATCCTCCAGGTCCGTTGTGCTCCTGTATCCCTACGAACCATCTCGCCGAATCAGCAGGAAGGGCATGGCAAATCCCTGAAGCGCTTTTCTACCCCATGCAATCTGGGGCGTCATCAGAGGGAGAACATCTTCCACGATCTCTGGAAGGCGGGGGGGTTGAGGGAGGGCGCGGGGGGGCATTACGAGGGGGGAATGGTGGATGGGGAGGGGGAGCGAAGGTTGGGGAGGGGGGGAAACGGTGGCAGGGGGGGCAGAGTTCAGACGAAGGGGGTGAGGGGAGGGAATAGATGAAATAGAGAAAGGAGAGGAAGGATAGGAGGGAAATAAACGCTAAGAAAACATGCGACGAAGTCCCTGTCGTCATCTTGGATTCCATCATCACTCTAGCGCACTATGGACCCGGGTCGACCGGCCAGCTGTCAACAGCGAGCAGAAAGAGTAGGCAGCAGCAGCCCGCAAGAAAAAGAGAACTGAAGCCGATCGTGCCGGCGATGAGCGCCGCAAAACACCTAGACGAAGCCCGCAGCAGCACCTTCTCCGAGAGGCAAGCGGCGAAGAGCAGACTTGCTATGGCTAGGTTAGGCAGCAAGGTAAGGAAGAGCAGCAGAGCGAGGTACGCGCTTAGCGCAGGCGAGAACGCGCAGTTGCCGGGTGTGGCGGTTGCAGCGGGGCACATCACGGCGTTCTGCATAGTGCAAGGATGACGCGTGATCAGGGAGGCAAACCGGAGGATGTCACGCTAGGAGCGTTACGACTTCCTCCTCCACGCGTTGCTCCTCCTTCTGGTCCCATTCGGCAAAGAAGTCCATGTCGTATCAGGCCGAACAAAGCTGCCGCCAAAACTGTATCACACCGCGCCTCCCTCGCTGTCAGAGCCAATAATCACACGGTGGATCGATGAATAGTACCTCAAGCGTCTAGTCCTAAAATAGTCCTAGTTCTACCCCGTATAGTACACTTGTGATGAACGCTTCCCTTGCCATCCATCCGTTTAGTGCGTTAATCCGTCGGTCGATTCGAAAGGAAAAAGGCAAAATACGAACTAAAAAAGAAAAAAGAAAAAAGATAAAAGAAAAAAAAAAAGGACAAAACG